TAATGGAGGCTCAAACAACTTCAAGTACTCGGCATTGATCACCGAATACATGCCTAAGTAAGGTGGCAAATCTAAACGAAAAGCGTTGTCGCCAATCTGATCGATAATCTGAAATGGACCATAACGAATAGGCTTCAACTTCTTCCCTTCTCCTTTGAGTCTCTCCTTACCCAATTTTAGCCATACCATATCGCCTTTACCAAAGTTACAAGGAACCCGATGTTGATCATGCTTCGCCTTGTACTTAGCTTGCGATTTCTTCAATTGAGCTTCAACCGTGGCATGAATATTTGCAATCTTCTCGAGAAATCACTGAGCACGTTGTCTTTCACTCCCCTCCTTGCCGTCCACCGTGGCTTCACTTGAAAACACAAGATCGAACGGGCTCGGCGGTAAAAATCCATAACAAGTCTCAAACGGTGACTTTCCGGAAGATCCATGAATTGCCCGATTAAAAGCAAACTGCAAATATGGTAAACTCTCATCCCAAGTCTTAGGATGCCTAGAATTATACCCCCGCAACATGTGCACCATAGTCCGGTTGACTACCTCCGTTTGTCCGTCTGTTTCTGGATGAAAGGCCATGCTCTTCTTCAATTTAGTGTCCATCAAACTCCACAAAGAATCCCAAAAATGCCCGAGAAAACGGCTATCCCGATCCGAAATAATCGAACTCGGCAACCCAAAGTGCTTCCACAAATGCTCAAAGAACAATTGTGCTGCACTCGCTCCCGTCACGGTCTTCTTACAAGGAATTAATATCACCATCTTGCTGAATCGGTCCACCACAACGTACAAATAGTCATGCCCGCGCTTCGTAGTTGGCAACCCTCCTAGAAAATCCATAGAAATGCTCTCCCACGGCCTAGAAGGAACCGGTAATGGTAGGTACAACCCCCTCTTTCTGTTAGAAGGCTTCGAAATACAACATAACTTACACCCTCCAACATACTTGGTCACATCATCAAGCATCCGTGGCCAAAACACATGTCGCCGTAGATTGAGAAGCGTTTTCTGAATGCCAAAATGCCCTTGCACACGCGAGGTATGTGCTTCCCGAATCCACTGCAACCTATCACCATCCTCCGGAATGCATAGTGATGCCCCACGATACAATAAGCCATCATCTCCAAGTGCATACTCCCCCCTTCGACCAGCCTTCGCCTGCTCAAACACACTACCGAAGTCTCTACTGGATGCATACAACTGAACATACTCAAAAGGAACCAAGGGCTGAATACGCGTCGCCACCAACAACGACCTTATCGGTGGGCGAGATAACATATCGGCCAACTTGTTCGTCGCCCCCTTCTTGTACCTAATAATGATGTTGAAAGCCATCAAATAAGACATCCACTTCATGTGCCGCGCCTGCTGTAGCTTCGTCTGGGCATGTAAGAACTCCAACGGCTTATGATCCGAATGCACGACCACCTCCTTCCCTAACAAGTACACCCTCCAATGCTTAATTGCTTGATATAGCGCATAGAACTCCTTGTCGTAGGTTGGGTAGTTCGCAACAGCACCCGAAAACTTTTCAGAATGGTATTCCACCGGTTTCCCATCCTGAGTCAACACCGCGCCCATCGCATAATTAGACGCGTCGGTCTCTACCTCGAAAGTCCGCTGCAAATTCGGCAACGCCAACACTGGTGCCTCCGAGATCTTCCTTTTTAGCAACTGAAAAGCCTCCTCATGCGTCTTTCCCCACTCAAACTGAACTTTAGCCTTTGTGAGGCCATGTAACGGTGCCGCATAAGTCGAAAAATGTCGAATGAACTTGCGCAAATACTGGCAAGCTCCCATGAAGCTCCTCACCTCAGTCACTGTCTTCGGCGTCGGCCACTTTGTGATCACCTCCACCTTGCCTGGATCTATCCTCCGCTGGCCCTTCCCTACGATGAAGCCGAGATACACCAACTCGTCCTTCCCGAACTCGCACTTTTTCCCGTTGAGCTTCAGCTGTCCGTCCTGCAACACTTCAAATACCTTCTCAACATGAACAAGATGCTCCTCCCAGGTCCTGCTGTACACCAAGATATCATCAAGGTAAACTATCACAAAATCCTCTATAAATGGTCGCAACAAATCATTCATAAGCCTCATAAAGGTAGCCGGAGCATTGCACAATCCAAACGGCATCACCAACCACTCGAACAGGCCTTGCTTGGTCTTGAACGCAGTCTTCCAAGTGTCTTCCTCCCGAATCCTCACCTGATGGTAACCAGACTTCAAATCCAGCTTCGTGAAAAACCTCGCTCCCTCCAACTGGTCCATAAGATCATCGATCCGCGGTAATGGGTAGCGATTCTTGATTGTGATCTTGTTGAGTGCCCGATAATCTACGCACATGCGCCAACCTCCATCCTTTTTGGGCACCAACAACACTGGTGACCCGCAAGGCGAACAACTTGGCACAATCACTCCTGTCTCCAAGAGCTCCTGAACTTGCTTCTTGATCTCCTCGGACTCTAGTACTGATGTGCGGTATAGGCCTATGTTAGGTAAGGAACTCTCCCCTGTCAACATAATCTCATGCTCTACACCTCGACGTGGTGGTAGTCCCGTGATCTCCGAAAACAAGTCCGCATACTTTGCTTTTAACCTTTCAAGATCTCCCTCCTGAAGCTTGCTCAAGACGGACAAGCACATCCTACTCAGTTGCTCTTCATACAGCCGAATGAACAATAAAACGAACTTCCTGCCCGCGTTCACCAACCTCTTAGCCTGAGTCACTGTCACCAAGCTCGTCTCCTGTGGAAGAGACGCCGAACGAAAAACGAATTGCTCGCCATCCTTGGTGAACGTATACTTTTGGGCTCGCCGATCATATACTGCGTATCTATCCCAAAAATAAGGATTGCCCAAAATAACTTGGCAAACATCTAACGGAACCACGTCGCATGTGACCTCGTCAATATACGACTCGTGGAGTGCAAATCTGAATGAACACTGGTTCACTACACTCAATCCCGCCTCCTTCTGAATCCACCCTAATGGATAGGGCTTTGGATGCTTCACCGTCTTCAATCCCAGCTTCTGTACTAATGCCTCAGATATCAGATTTTTCTGACTCCCTGGATCTACAATAGCATCCACTAAGCTGGTCTTGACCTGCAATTTCAGAACAAAGAGCTGCTCCCTCGGGTCGTCATCTTCCTTGGTAGCCTGCTTCCCCGCCATAAGGTTGAGACTGCTATTGGGTTCGGTCATCCCGGGAACCTCCTTCGGACCCTGTGCTATCACGTACGCCTTCTTCTCCTCCTTCTTCTTCAATCCTTTTGGCTTCAGATGAGGATACTTATCCCAGCAACGATCGGCCACATGCCCTGTCTGCTTGCAGTGATTGCATGTCAATCCTGCTTTCCCCGAGTCAACCTTCTTCTTCTCATCCTTAGACTGAGAGCCACCCGTCTTGCTCCCCGATGGTTTGGAATCCCCCTTTGTCTCATTGCCCTTCTTCTGCCTGCCCTCAATGGCAATGGCCTTCACGCTCGCCTCTGCGATTGTCTCCACTGAAAACAGCTTCATCTCCTTCCGGATGTAATCATTCAGACCCGCCATGTACTTCATGAAGATGGGATACTCGTCTGTTGCGATGTTTAGAACCATCGCCTGCTGCTGGAACTCCGTCGTATACTCCTGAACGGTCTGATTAAACTTTTGGCGCAAGCCATACCACTTGTACCAACGCTCCTCAAGGAACCCTACTGGATAGAACTGTTTACGAAGTAGTTCCTTGAACTTGTTCCACGACGCCGCTTTCCTCTCCTGTTTGCAATAGGATTTCCACCACGTCAAAGCGTGCCCGGAAAGCTTCAATGTCGCGAACACTATCTTCTCCTTGGACGAATATCCGTAGAGAGTGAAGTACATCTCCATACGTTCGATCCAATCATCAAGCTTCTCCACGTTGATACTCCCATCATAAACAGGAATCTCAACCTTGAAGTCAATCTTCAGATTCTGGTAATGATTCTTACCCCCTTGATGTCCAGCAGTCTTGAAAATCTTAGTCTCCCCCTCTGAATCAGCTTTCTCGCTCTCCTCATCGGATTCGAAGAGTCCCTTCTTACCCTTCGAAGAAGATTCCTCCTTTTTGTCACCTCCGTTGATTAGACCCACGAGTTGGGTAAGAGTCGTCCCGATCGTCTCAATCTGTCTCTCCATGGCATCAAGTCTCGCTGAATTATCTGCTTCAGTCATCTTCTCCTTCCTTAATTTCTGGACTCCCTCCAAAGAAATAAGGATCTCGCCAAGCTTCTTGTATTGTGAGCGAGTAAGGACCATACACAGGTTCCCCCTTCACAGGATCTAGGTGCTCTGATACCAACTTGATACGAGTTGCCGTGCGAGCACTCTTGATCGCGGAATTATCAAGAGTGGGTAAAGAAGAAGAACGACAGAAGAACACAAGAGTTGAATTAGGGCGAAGGAAAATACCTTCTCTAGATTATGAGAATCAATTGGATTTTACAAATCTCTCTCTCACAATCTCTCTAGATCAAAGAACAACCTCCCTGATCTCTTTTCTGATTACAAACTGAGTTCTAAACCCTAGAAAAGTCGTGTTTCTATTTATACTAAACAGAAATCCCAACTGGAGCAGGAAACAGACCCAGGCCCGGATCCGCGACGCGGTCGACCGCAGTGCCCAAGTCGGTCGACCGGTCAGAACGACGAAATCTGGAAAATCGATTACAGGGTTCTCCGGTCGACCGCAGTGCCACCATCGGTCGACCGATCTCAGTCCCGAGACACAGTTGGGGTCCGTGCACGATGCGGTCGACCGCCGTGACCACGCCGGTCGACCGGACAGAGCCCAACTGTAATTTCTGCAGTTTTGATGAATCCTTTCGACTTCGTTGCTTCCAATGGCCTCGTCCACGACTCCTCTACTCTATTCTCAAGATACCATGAGAATCATCTATCCTCAAGCTCCCATGAGGATCGCTAAGCTCCCAAAGAGAAGATACACCCGTATCAGCTATGCCAATTCAAGCCTTAGTTGCAAGGACGTTTTATAGATTGAACGCATATTTTAATAAGAGGCGCATTGATAGTGCAAATTGGACGAGTAAGTACACTCCAAAAAATGAGATTATTTTGCAGAAAAGGATTGTGGCTGTGAGAACATGTAGAATTGAACAATTCAACAACAATGAGTGGGAGGTTAAAGATTGTGATGGTACATACACCGTTCATCTCGACGATCAGGAGTGCAGTTGTACTTGTAGTATACCACAATTACAGAAAATCCCATGTCAACACGTTTTAGCGGCTAGTTCCAATCAAGATGGTGGTGCTAGATTGCCTTATGACCGGTATTGCTCAGCTTGGTATTCAACAAATCATTATCGGAAGGCTTATAAGGAGAGTTTTCATCCTCCCGATGATACTCGCTATTGGCCGGAATTATATATACCGTACTTATTACCACCTAAGCACAAAAGACAAGCTGGACGACCAAAATCCGTACGCATTAGATCTACCATGGATCAAGGTCGTGAAGGAGTAGCGTCACGAATCCGATGTGGACAATGTAATCAATTAGGACATAATAGGTCTCGTTGTCCATCAAGAGCAAGTAGATAGCAATTAATTTGTAAGTAAAATATTTTCTAATGATATGTCATCATTATATGTTATTGATTTAGCAAGTAGATACATTGTTCATATGTATTTGATTTGGCAGAAACTCATAAGTTACCGTTATATGTGCAGGTATATACACGATGCTTCCCGGACCGGATAATGATGAAGTCCTTTATGATCAGTCACGCCACCGTTCGGAGAGCATATCATTGACATCGGTAATGATAACATATTTACAGTCACATATTACTTATTCATTTTTATAATCTTTGTATTCATTTATGTGCAGAGAGGACAAGAGCTGGTTATGATTGATCATAGCCTTGGACATACGTGCTGGCCACTTGATGATCCTCGCATCATTGCCCTAGTATCCCAAGCCGGTTTTCTTACTTGCTCAAAATTGAAATGGATGAAGCTCGATTGGGCACTGCTTAACGCGTTGATGGATAGATGGAGGCCGGAGACTAATACTTTCCATCTACGTGTCGGCGAGACAACTATTACTCTCCAGGATGTAGCAGTGATCCTAGGTCTCCGCATTGATGGCCCTTGTATCACGGGGACTGATAGGCATGTTTGGCGAGATGTATGTGATAATTTGTTAGGAATATCTCCGGAGTCCTTGCCTGGAGGGTATATTAGATTGAAGTGGCTTAAGGAGAGTTTTGGAAACCCGTTGCCACAAGATGCACCTGAAGTGATGATCCAACAGCATGCGAGAGCATATATTATGCACATGATCGGGACACTTCTTTTTCCCGATTCAAGTAAACATAAAGTCCATTTGAGGTAAGTAAACATTAAGTATTGATTTTTGCTCACTATTCTTAGTATACATGACTAACGTATTTGAACTCGCGCTAGGTGGTTACCACTTATCGAAGACTTCGACATGTGCGGGACATTATCCTGGGGTAGTGCTGTTTTAGCATACCTATATCGAGAAATGTCAAAGGTTGCTTTAATGCAGAATAAGGAGCTCAAGGGTTGTTTAACTTTGCTACAAGTTTGGGCATGGGAAAGATTGGTTTTGAAACCACGATTATGCGAGATCCGAGAGTTAGATGGACATATTCCACTAGGCTGCAGGTAAAAAGCGTCAAATTGAATCTCATTTGTATTTAATTTTAAATTTAACATTTTGAACAAGGAAACATTTCTTGCAGATGGAATGTCACAAAAGCTTATGATGAGACCCCGGCTAGGCAATTAGACTTTTACAGAGGGGAGCTCGACCGGATGAAAATTTTTCAGGTATCGAATTTGAATTGAAGTACTCTATGATATCAATATATTTCAAAGAGATATTAACATTTGGACTTTTTTGCAGTTCGAGTGGCAGCCATACACCCCTCACCTACCTCGTCTACCGCTGATTTGTATGGAGGGCCACGGCATATGGAGGGCCAGAGTTCCTCTCGTTTGTTTCGAGATTGTGGAGATGCACGTACCCGATCGCGTGTTTAGACAGTTTGGACTCGCGCAACATGCTCCACAATATGTCGAAAAAATAGAGAGAAAGGCGACTAAAGGTGGACATCAGATTGACTGGAGGCGCACGCATCAATCATACATAGCTCGGTGGAATGATCGGCATCAACTTATTGTCGATCCGCTTTATCCTCCGATGGAAGAAGTTGATTACATTAAATGGTATTGGGGGATTACCAGACGTTGGATAATCACTCAAACTACGCCTCCAGTCGACGAAATCGAGATTCGCTCCCAACAATCCCGATATGTACCAAGAGGGGTAGATGAGCGACGATGGGTAAGTTAAATTGTCAAAATTATCATAGAATGTCAATCTCTTCTTAGCTTATGGTTTCTAATATCAATATTTTTATGTAATTGTAGATAGATGCTATGGATGACGTCGAGGGGCTTGCAAATGAGGGCATAGTTACCGCCACAGGAGATTCAGTACATGTATCGATATTGCATCGGATAGTGGCGAGAGTTCGTAAAGCTTTTCAACAAACTTATGAGGATCGACATGATGGTCGTGAGCAGGTGGATCTTGACGATACTCTATATGTACGCCGACGTAGGCGCGGTAGACCTTGCACGCACGACGATGAAGCCGGTCCGTCACAGCAAGCCGGTCCGTCACAGCAAGCCGGTCCATCACAGCCCCACACACAACCGGAGAGCGAGCATATTCAAGCTCAAGTCGAAGGAGGACGCCGACGATCTCAACGAGTGCGAAGAGAGAGACAACGGGGGAGGGTGGATTTTTTATTTGTTAGTTTTTCCACTAAGATATATATTGTCGTATGGATTTATTGACCTTGGATTTGTTTATCTTAAACTACATATTATCGTATGGGTCGACTTGAGACATTTGGATTTGTTTAGCTTAGACTGATATATATTATCGTATGGATTTGTGATGTGTATTTTTGTCGGATTTTGGATGTGATGTGTATTCCGTTGGATTTGTGTTGTGATGTTGTTGATTACGTCAGATTTGTGTGGTGACGTACTCTATGATGAGATTTGTGTTGTGATATTGTAAATGATATCTTTTTGGCGAAAATTTTGCTTGTAATCGATAAATGAGGCCCGTGCATGTTTGGTGTATCCTGCCCAGCAAATCCACGGGACTAGTAGTCCCGTGGATTTGCTGGGCAGGGGCTTTAGCTGCTCTGCAAAATCCACGGGACTAGTAGTCCCGTGGATTTGCTGGGCAGAGGGCCAACATGCACCAAACATGCATGGGCCTCATTTATCGATTACAATCAAATTTTTTGCCAAAAAGATATCATTTACAATATCACAATACAAATCTCACCGTGGATTTGCTGGGCAGAGGGGCAACATGCACCAAACATGCACGGGCCTCATTTATCGATTACAAGCAAAATTTTCGCCAAAAAGATATCATTTACAATATCACAACACAAATCTCATCATAGAGTACATCACCACACAAATCCGACGTAATCAACAACATCACAACACAAATCCGACGGAATACACATCACATCCAAAATCCGACAAAAATACACATCACAAATCCATACGATAATATATATCAGTCTAAGCTAAACAAATCCAAATGTCTCAAGTCGACCCATACGATAATATGTAGTTTAAGATAAACAAATCCAAGGTCAATAAATCCATACGACAATATATATCTTAGTGGAAAAACTAACAAATAAAAAATCCACCCCTTCCCCGTCGTCTCTCTCTTCGCACTCGTTGAGATCGTCGGCGTCCTCCTTCGACTTGAGCTTGAATATGCTCGCTCTCCGGTTGTGTGTGGGGCTGTGATGGACCGGCTTGCTGTGACGGACCGGCTTCATCGTCGTGCGTGCAAGGTCTACCGCGCCTACGTCGGCGTACATATAGAGTATCGTCAAGATCCACCTGCTCACGACCTTCATGCCGATCCTCATGAGTTTGTTGAAAAGCTCTACGAACTCTCGTCACAATCCGATGCAATATCGATACATGTACTGAATCTCCTGTGGCGGTAGCTAAGCCCTTATTTGCAATCCCCTCGACCTCGTCCATAGCATCTATCTATAATTACATAAAAATATTGATATTAGAAACCATAAGCTAAGAAGAGATTGACATTCTATGATAATTTTGACAATTTAACTTACCCATCGTCGCTCATCTACCCCTCTTGGTACATATCGGGATTATTGGGAGTGAATCTCGATTTCGTTGACTGGAGGCGTAGTTTGAGTGATTATCCAACGTCTGGTAATCCCCCAATACCATTTAATGTAATCAACTTCTTCCATCGGAGGATAAAGCGGATCGACAATAAGTTGATGCCGATCATTCCACCGAGCTATGTATGATTGATGCGTGCGCCTCCAGTCAATCTGATGTCCACCTTTAGTCGCCTTTCTCTCTATTTTTTCGACATATTGTGGAGCATGTTGCGCGAGTCCAAACTGTCTAAATACGCGATCAGGTACGTGTATCTCCACAATCTCGAAACAAATGAGAGGAACTCTAGCCCTCCATATGCCGTGTCCCTCCATACAAATCAGCGGTAGACGAGGTAGGTGAGGGGTGTATGGCTGCCACTCGAACTGAAAAAAAATCCAAATGTTAATATCTCTTTGAAATATATTGATATCATAGAGTACTTCAATTCAAATTCGATACCTGAAAAATTTTCATCCGGTCGAGCTCCCCTCTGTAAAAATCTAATTGCCTAGCCGGGGTCTCATCATAGGCTTTTGTGACATTCCATCTGCAAGAAACGTTTTTGTTCAAAATGTTAAATTTAAAATTAAATACAAATGAGATTCAATTTGACGCTTTTTACCTGCAGCCTAGTGGAATATGTCCATCTAACTCTCGGATCTCGCATAATCGTGGTTTCAAAACCAATCTTTCCCATGCCCAAACTTGTAGCAATGTTAAACAACCCTTGAGCTCCTTATTTTGCATTAAAGCAACCTTTGACATTTCTCGATATAGGTATGCTAAAACAGCACTACCCCAGGATAATGTCCCGCACATGTCGAAGTCTTCGATAAGTGGTAACCACCTAGCGCGAGTTCAAATACGTTAGTCATGTATACTAAGAATAGTGAGCAAAAATCAATACTTAATGTTTACTTACCTCAAATGGACTTTATGTTTACTTGAATCGGGAAAAAGAAGTGTCCCGATCATGTGCATAATATATGCTCTCGCATGCTGTTGGATCATCACTTCAGGTGCATCTTGTGGCAACGGGTTTCCAAAACTCTCCTTAAGCCACTTCAATCTAATATACCCTCCAGGCAAGGACTCCGGAGATATTCCTAACAAATTATCACATACTCTTCGCCAAACATGCCTATCAGTCCCCGTGATACAAGGGCCATCAATGCGGAGACCTAGGATCACTGCTACATCCTGGAGAGTAATAGTTGTCTCGCCGACACGTAGATGGAAAGTATTAGTCTCCGGCCTCCATCTATCCATCAACGCGTTAAGCAGTGCCCAATCGAGCTTCATCCATTTCAATTTTGAGCAAGTAAGAAAACCGGCTTGGGATACTAGGGCAATGATGCGAGGATCATCAAGTGGCCAGCGCGTATGTCCAAGGCTATGATCAATCATAACCAGCTCTTGTCCTCTCTGCACATAAATGAATACAAAGATTATAAAAATGAATAAGTAATATGTGACTGTAAATATGTTATCATTACCGATGTCAATGATATGCTCTCCGAACGGTGGCGTGACTGATCATAAAGGACTTCATCATTATCCGGTCCGGGAAGCATCGTGTATATACCTGCACATATAACGGTAACTTATGAGTTTCTGCCAAATCAAATACATATGAACAATGTATCTACTTGCTAAATCAATAACATATAATGATGACATATCATTAGAAAATATTTTACTTACAAATTAATTGCTATCTACTTGCTCTTGATGGACAACGAGACCTATTATGTCCTAATTGATTACATTGTCCACATCGGGTTCGTGACGCTACTCCTTCACGACCTTGATCCATGGTAGATCTAATGCGTACGGATTTTGGTCGTCCAGCTTGTCTTTTGTGCTTAGGTGGTAATAAGTACGGTATATATAATTCCGGCCAATAGCGAGTATCATCGGGAGGATGAAAACTCTCCTTATAAGCCCGCCGATAATGATTTGTTGAATACCAAGCTGAGCAATATCGGTCATAAAGCAATCTAGCTCCACCATCTTGATTGGAACTAGCTGCTAAAACGTGTTGACATGGGATTTTCTGTAATTGTGGTATACTACAAGTACAACTGCACTCCTGATCGTCGAGATGAACGGTGTATGTACCATCACAATCTTTAACCTCCCACTCATTGTTGTTGAATTGTTCAATTCTACATGTTCTCACAGCCACAATCCTTTTCTGCAAAATAATCTCATTTTTTGGAGTGTACTTACTCGTCCAATTTGCACTATCAATGCGCCTCTTATTAAAATATGCGTTCAATCTATAAAACGTCCTTGCAACTAAGGCTTGAATTGGCATAGCACGGGCACCCTTAAGTACGCCGTTGAAACTTTCGGAACAATTAGTTGTCATCATACAATATCGCACTCCACCATCTTTACATAATGCCCATCGATCTTCGTATTGCGGCTTCAAGTTTTGTTCAATCCAATCGTGGGCTTCAAGTGATATGGATTTAATTTTCTCTCTACAATGCTCATATACCAGTGAGTCAGTTGCACAACCGGCTTGCCATAATAGATTTTGTAAATTGACCTCTCCATGTTTTTTCTTAAAATTAGCTCTTATATGCCGCAAGCAATATCGGTGATGATGTGGTGCACTCCACCCCTCGTGCAAGGCTCGTGGAATTCCTTTCATCCGGTCAGAAATAAAGGTAATAACTCGTGGACTTTGAACAGTCGGAATATATTTGTAAATACATTGAAAAAACCACTTCCAACTCGATGTATCCTCCACCTCCACAACTGCAAAAGCTACAGGAAATAGCCCACCGTTTGCATCTACACCGGTCGCAACCAAGATTACTCCTTTATACTTGCCATATAAATGTGTTCCATCGATACTTAAGAGCGGACGACAAAAAGAGAACCCTCTGATAGCGGGCCCAAATGCCCAAAAAACACATATGAACCTCTCCGTTTCTGGTGCGACCTCCTTAGACACTATGTCATATTCGGTACCCGGATTGTTCCGCACAATTGCTGAAAGGTAATGCGGAAGTAATTGGTAAGATTCCTCCCAATCTCCAAAGATTTTAGTCAACGCCTTCCTCCGTGCATCATATGCTTTAAACTTGGAAATTGTTATTCTTTTCATGTCATATACCCTTGTAATTATCTGTCCTGGAGTAAGATCAAGTTCCCGCCTAACTTCGGGCATAATTAGCTTTGCGATATAAGAGGAAGTCAAAGTCTTATGATCATAAGTTGCAGTCGAATTAGAACATGTATGGAGTCCGCAATAACTAGAGATTATAAACTGGCCAAGTGATTTTTTCCTAATAGCTGCATTAAGCTTCCATGGACACTTTGAATTTCTATCATCTGCAGCACTTGTATTCTCTCCTTGACCTCTCTCATTAAAGTAACACTTTACATGATAGCTAGTTGTGTTGCTTTTCACCGTCTTGAATTTGACCCGGTTTTTTATTGTCCATTCACGTATAGCGAAAATTAATGTTTCCTTGTTCTCGAAAAGATCTCCTTTCTTGAAAGTAAAGTCCTCGGATGGATCGAAATTAGGGCCAGGATCGACGAACTCAGCTTGTGAGGCATTTATCCACTCATCATTTTGAAACTCTTCTGGCAACGGCTCTTCAGACTCTACGTAGTCGTTATTTACGCAATATTCATCCATCCAACTTACGTCATCATTGGTCTCTCCAATTGCATACTGCATACTATCAAGACGTTCATCCTCTTCAGCATCTTCAGTATCATCATCGGCATCTACATCCTCATCATTATCCTCTGCTATTGTAGAACCCCCCGGTAAATCAACTGAAACATAACCCGGCGAGTTGTGGAACACGTCATTTGACATTGCACCCGACTCATTTTTAAAGCGCATGGCACTTTGAGATAACGAGATTTGATTATCAAGCATGCGGGAGAACTCTCCACGAGCATATGAAACTTCAGCGACCGAATACACTGGAATATTTTCAATAAACAACTCGATTGATACTTGTTTTTCCGCAAGCTGTATCATGTTATTCAATTCTTCATCATTGGTGATCTCTACAGCAATTGTTCTTTGATCATTTATTGGACAATTACAGAAGATCTTAATGGAATTTTCGACGTGATTAATTCCAGTGACTCTGTATATTTGCGCCACCAATCTATCAAAGTTGTAATTTCTGGACCACATGAACATTTTCCTAGAGCCTCCATCGTATATAGGCATATTATTCATTCCAACGCTCAGTTTTCCATTGAATAAGCAAATAATCGGTACTCCGTTCGCCATTTTAACTGAAGCATTAAAATTCATCATATAATAATTATATTTTTTTCCAGAGATTTTTCTAGACCATAATCATATATTTCTTCTAGATATACAACATTAACTAAACAATACATATAAATTTATGGAAAAATTAAAATTTGTACCTTGATTAAATCTCAGATCTCCTCGGCCTCGCAGAGAATCGACGGCGTCGGCGTCAGATTTGAGGGAGGAAGAGGTGAGTTGGGTTTGGGGGAGAGAGATAGGGATTGTTGGGTTTTGGGATAGATGGAGATCGGGTTTGGGAGAGAATGAGAGCTTTGATCGGCTTGGGAGAGAATGAGAGCTCGGGAAAGAGAGAGGGGGAGATCTAGAGTTGAGCTCAGGAGAGAGAGAGAGAGAGGGGATCGGAAGTGGGTGCTCGGGGGAGAGAGAGGGAGATGGCGAGAGAAAAAAACGAAGGGGAAAATGTGCCCTAGGTTCGGTGTATATATAGTCTGTAATTATACGGGACTAGTAGTCCCGTATAAATTGCAACCAGCCCGAAATCCACGGGACTAGTAGTCCCGTGGATTTGTTTGGTATAGGCTTCGCTGGCTCTGAAAAACGTACGGGACTACTAGTCCCGTACGTTTTGTTAACAAACAAAATTAGTGAACTTTAAACATACGGGACTAGTAGTCCCGTATGTTTTCTGATCCATTTTTCAAAATCGACCTCTTTTCCCAAAAAAACGGTCTATTTTGCTAATTTTTCCAAAAACGGTCTATTTCGCTAATTTTTTTCCAAAAAAGGTCTATTTTGCAAATTTACCCTAGATTATATTCTCTCATTCAACAAAACACCTCAATTCCCTCAAAAAGTTTGTTAACTCTCTTGAAAATTTTTAATTCCCCCTAAATTCACCCATTTGTCCCCTCCGAATGTTAATTGCGATGGTTATTTATGTCCTTTTACACTTTGATTTAACAAGTGTGTATGGAAATTATGACTTGGTGACACTTTGTTAATGGTGCATAATATCATCATGGTCTTCCCAAAATTGTAAATTTCACGGTGATTCTCTGAAAAACCACTATATATATTGTGGTGATTTCATATAAAACACCCATTGATTATTATCTCCATTGATTCTACGATTCAAATATATTGTAGTAGTTAAGTTTTCTACATCATTTCTTCTCTCAAGCAAAGGATACTGGTTCAACATCACTAGAAATGTTATTTCAGAGGAGAAAAACATCCTCAAAAATATACGTCTTTTTGTCATCTCAATGATTTTGTTACTTATTTTAGTATTAAACATCAGAAATATGTTGGTATTACTATCAATCCAATTAATGTAGCATTTCAGTTGTAAATCCAACCTCTCTCTTCTTTCTTATAGTTAGTGTTTAAATAAGTGAATTATCAAATAAAACAATTATTAAGATAAGGGAGAGAGGATTGAAACTGGCGTATGATGCATTTATTGGATACATGCGTTAGATAATAAATAACGCAGGCAAAATTTTATAGTTAGTTTTTAAATAAGTGAATTATCAAATAAAACAATTATTGAGACAAGTGATACGATATATTTTGGATATTTTCCCCATCAAGTAGAATTTCTAGCATAAAATGCGTCTAATTTTGAACATAACGTCTTTCAAAAGATCGTCTTGTGCACAACTTTTCTTGCCTGTATTTACGGAAGAGAAGGTTTGAGAAATACGCACGGGAACAAATCATATATTACATAACTACATTAAAATCTAGGATTCATTTGAACAGCCAAATTCAATCATTTAATCAAATTAATATCTAAATCTAATATTTCTATAAATATCATAATCAACTAAATAAGAAATATTTTAAAATTTTCAATAATAAATATGCCCACTTCCACTTATTAATAACACAATACAACTAGGAATATGTATATGAATATAACTCTGTCTAAAAAGCCCACCGACCCAGGGTCGGCCCGGAAACCTGGTCCAGACCCGGGTCCGGCTCCCTCCCTGGCGTCCGCCGCCGGCACCCGACCCGGCCGCGAAACAGTTCCGGCCGGACAACAAAACCTGGCCCGGCGGCCCGGACCCGGAGCCTGGCAAGGTGACCGTTGCGGGCAAAAATCCGGGCCGGGCCGGGTTGGCCCAGCCCAGCCTGGCGAAAACGGTCACCAAGGAAAACGGTCACTAAGAGGTGACCGTTTTCGCCAAACGGTCAGATATGTGACCGTTTTGGCCAGGTCGGGCGGGCCCTCCCCTCCCCCCCCACCCCGTGCACGAGAAGAAAAATGAAGAAACCGGGAAAGCCGACCGGGCCGCGGCCGATAAACGGTCATTTTTGCGTTTTGATCGTTTTGCCCCTTAAAACGGTCAAAAAATAGCTATTTGGTGAGGGTTTTTTTGTCATTTGCCTAGGAGACTACCTCTATAAATAGAGAGGGTTTTTTTACTTTTTCTCCTCACACCAAAACTCATTTACTTCTCTCTAATACTCTCTTATACAATCTTATACTCTCTTATAATCTCTTATATTTTCTAATCCTTTAATCAAATGACTTCTGAATCTAATTATGAAGAGCAAAATCTATCTCCTACCGATATTGAAATGAGTCATCCTACAACAACAGCTACTTCTCCTACCGATCCTACCAGTGGTAATCCCGAATCTGGTGGCGACGAATCTGCACCAAGAGCTCCTAAAAGGTCGAGATCCGATGTGTGGAATTTTTT